AAGATTAAACGGGACCTGTTTAGACAATCAAATCAGAGTACGAATATTTAATTAATTAATAATTAATATTTCATGACCGAACTCTGTGAGATCCTCCACTACGATTAAAAACGACTGGCGTAGATCATGGCGAACGACAGATTTCCAGCCACATGATAATGTTCAGCGTCTCATCAGGTCTGTCTGCTGTAAGAGAGCCCTTTTCCGTTCAGATCTCAAAGTTACGTATTCTGATTGACTTGCTTACGGCGTCGACAACGGATCACTATCCCCTGCCGACTTCACTTGTTTCTGTTCGACATGCGATGATTTTTCTGAGGCGCGACGTCCTCATTTTAGTGCTTCAAGTTTTTAAGTTAGCAGCTGACGTCCTCTGGCGACTTCGCTACAGCTTGGTAAACTCAGAAGCCGAGCGGCTTTTGTGCCTCGTCCAAGTTTGCCTGCCGAGTCCAGTTGCTAGTGTGTCTTCTAGCGAAACTGATTTTTTCTTGATTTACATTGCACGGATGGTCGACAACGACCATTCTTACGAAAGTATCAAAAATCTAGTAGCGACAAATCTTCTTGCGATGAAAAATTTAATGAGCGTCATTAAGTTTGACTCAAGACTCATTATGTAATGACATATCTGCCATATTACAACAGATGTTGCTTCGAAAATTGCGCGATTTCTAACGGGTGGCATCGAAACAAAGGTTCGTGATAAACCTGGAAGAAGAGCGGCAGAAACTGCAACGCTTCGCCAAGCACATGTACGTGCCGTGAAAGTAAAATCGGTAGCCAACGAATGGTGGAGTGTTGGATGGAAAGGGCAGGGTGTCTAATCCGGCAGTCTTCTGTCTAATTGAATACAGTATGGGGAACTTGGTTAGTGTGGATTCTTTCTACACAGTCGAAGATTAAAGGACGTTTTGTACGATGTTCATAAGGATACAGAACGTGGAGTCGTAGGCTGTCATCATCATAACATAATCGGCATGTAATCGACAATGGACTGCTGCACCAATCAGACAATTTTCTTCCGTTTGATTATCCATCGATTTTCGACCTCCTTTGAGCAAGGGCAACGTAGACCACAGTAGAGGAGCTACGTTGCTCCAGTTTGAATGGACCTTGATCGTGAATCAGCGCCCGTCATTGCCTTGAACGGCGGAAAGCTCGTTGTCGACAGACTGGACGATGATGGTGATCACCAATTAAGATTTTATAATGATCCATCAAAGGTTCATTGGTTGATCGTTTAGGCGTTAATGACAAATTTTCATCGCTACCGTAACGGTTCAGAAGAACAAACCTCACCGTACTTCACCCTGTCACTTAATCCAGTGCTTTCATCCTTATCTGTTCCCTGCCCCCAAAGACGAGAGAGAAGACGGCTTTTAGGGAGCTACAGCTGTCAACATGAGATTATTGCATCTCTGCGTTTTCGTTCAAGCGCGATTTAATTTTCTAAACCAGAAAATGTATGTAAAAAATGGTATTAACACAAAGGAGGCCTGGTAAGCTGTCGTTCAGGGTGGCTTTTGTACCTTTAATACTTGGTCCGTAAAGATGGCTTTACGGTTGTGCAGTGGGTTATGCTGCATCGAGGCTGTCTATATTTGAGCAATATTACTGGTTAAGAGTACAGTCTTATAACAAAATGCATATATGCAAATGATTTCTGCAACGCACTTCAATTTCGTCTTCTATAATAAATCATCAGTTCAGTGATTTAGTGCTACAAGCGAAAAGCCAGATGGTAAATTCTTTAGTGGAACCTGCCAGCGTGCCAGTCAAACAACATTAACTATCCTCAGGTAGACAATGAGGCATCATTGAGAAATCTTATAGAAGCGGCTTAAAATGCGACTCACGAGAGACTGCTAAGAATTCCAGGCGAAAGGTAAGAGACGGTGCTGAACTTCTCTCGCCGTTTGCACCTGCAGTTGTAGAACACTGGCGAGGGAAGAAGCTTTAAATCAACTAATGCTGGAAAGGTCAGGGTCATTACATGCGACGTCCTTGGTGTCTGGGAGAAGGTGACGAATTGCATTTAGAACGAACCTAGTTCGATTTGGCAAAGAAGAGGAAAAGACGCGAAGAACATGGGAGGATTCGGAGTTAGAGCCAGTAACAGCAGATCCTCCAAAATCGTCGCTTACCATATGAAATCAATATAAGGACGTGCTGAGCCTCTAATTCAATAAAAAGAGGACCTCAAAATTCATAAAATCCTGTGCTTCCACAACTATAACTGAAGAGGAAGAAGCACAAAATTCTGTCGAGAATGGGAACAGGTACTGGTCCGAAAGTAAATCTACACCCTCATCGTTGGAAATTTCAATGCCAGGGTCATACGACGCATTGCCAGTGAAATTTCTCGGCACTGCAGAGAGAAATTAATGCGGAAATCGCTTGGTGACGATGGCAGAAACGAAGCACTTGTACTTTGGTAACCCTAGTTCAAGAACAGGACTCTGTAGACTCATTCCTGTTCGATAAATAGGGCATCATGCGAGTCGTATTTAACACCCCCGCCTTCAGGGACCAGAGATTGTTGAGGGCCACGCTAACCTTCGAAGAGAAGATCGAGAAGAAGACACTGCAGATGGTAAACGGCACACAACCACCGAAGATATTTGACGAGACGGTGCTCAGAGCGTGCGTTGCCAGCGAAGACTGGAGCCTGAAAGGCAGCCAAGAAACTGAGTCATGTCGTAAAGTCAGGCACAGTGGTAATAACAAACAAAGGGAAAGGAAGAGGCATAAAGTTTGCTTTGGAAGCGGAGGAGGACGAGGTACCAACACGCTGGAGTACTCTCTTCCTTGCAAGCTCATTAGACGAAAGCTGAAGGAGGATTTGAAACCTTCCGATGGCGAAAATTAAAGAAAACAGCCGAAGATCAGAGATGTCTGATACAATGAGGGAGAGAGTTAGCTATTGATCAGTAGACCATCGTGGCTTTGAACAGCCGGATGACGCATTGACGTTTGACAGAGCTGAGACGCAGTTTATCTGCAAGAACGTGTCCACTCACCTCTTTATGTCAAGGACACGTGTCTGCCACCATCACTCAAACAGCTGAAAAAATGCAGTCCCTGTCCTCACACGTGAAGTTCTGCATGCCGCGAGGCAAATGAAGGAAAGAAGAGCTGAATGGACAAAAGTTACAGCAATTGAAATGATCAGTTCTGATGTGGAGGATTTTTGCGCAGGAGTTCAGTTGCTACGTTGGGGGGGGGGAATAGAA